TTGGCTTTGCCGCGGTGCGTCGCGAAACCTGCACTATGACGCGGTACGCTCTGCCCGCGTGGACGCCGCCCGAGTTTCTACTGCCGGGCAGCAACGCGCAGGCCAACGAATCCACGGACGCCTATGCGTTTGGCATTGTCATGTGGGAGGTACTTACCCGTCTCGCACCCTACGACGACGCCGTGTCAGGTGGCGCATCTGTGCGTCTGGTGGGACTCGTGGGCAGTGTTATCGACGGCCACCGGCCACCGGCTCTTTTTACACCGCTTGGCGCAACATTTTGCCCCACGCAAACGGAAAGCAAAGCCTGTGCAAAGTGATGATGCCCAATCGGCTGCGTTTTTACCGTCGTTGGTGTGTGACCACTCAGCTACCGCTCCGAGCTTGTCTGTGGCCACGGATCCTGGTGCCGAACCAACAGAGTCCAATGATTTAGACTCATTGGACTCTGATGACGGTCAGCAAGATACGGCACAGTACAATGCCGCGCAAGATTCGGCACAGGACAGCGTCGCGCAGGACAATGCCGAGCAAGACCCTGCGCAAAGAGCTACCAAATTCTTGGCCGAGCTCCAGAATGAGCTATTTCCTGGCTGTCCGGGCATGGAAGAGCGCGCTATTTCAACACACCACGGACCAAGCTACGCGCGTCGACTTTCCACCCGCAGAGTCTGCACATTCGGACGAAACCATCCGCCGACTGATGGCAATTCAGTTGGGCTGGAGCGCGGTCATGACGCATGACGTTGTCCTTCGTCCAAGCTTCCTTTTGCCCTCGCCACGCGAGTCGAGCGATGGCAATGCGAGCCTTGGCAATTATTCCGGCAGTGCTTGCTGTCCAAACGGCATTGTCGAGACGACAACCATAGAAGAGCTACCAGAGTCACCACCAGAACCAACATCAGCGGCCGCGGCGTGTTTTTCTACCTTGGCCAAGATTGACGAGGATGATTACGACACCGAAATTGGGCCAAGGTGCGATATGCCAAAGTCGAGGTGACAGAAAGCACGCGCAAAGAACACGAGACCAAGCCAAACGCGCATGAATCGACTCTGCACATTGCGCTTTGCCCTACTCACACCAGCGAGCCGCCCCTTGTGCGCCCATCGTCTTTGCCGGATCGCGCATCAGATCAACGGTCAAAACGTTCTCGTTCCAAAACGCCAGAACGCGCTGCCAAGCCACCGAGATGTGACGTTCACCGTGGAGGCGGCCATGACAAAATCGGCTCTCGTTTTGGCCACAATGATACCGCATCACGCCCGGCCGCGCCCAAGGCCAAGAGGCAAAAGACAAGTCTTGAACGCGCAGACAGCGATCGGCGCATGGACCATAATCGCAGCCATCGTGCGCAAAATGATGAAAAGTCTCACCGCGACTCGCCGCCAAACACATCATTGGACAAACCGGCCCAACCAGAGTCTGGCGTGTGGTCAAAGAAACGCATCATGATTGCGTTTCCTAACCGCGAGGCCGTGTTGCGCTACGCTCGACAATATCCTAACGGAGACTTTGAGCGCGCCCGCACCATCCTCAAGCACATCGTCATATCTCAATGCCGCCGCTTTGGTGCGTTTCTCTTTGACTCGGTTGCTTTGTTGTTCTCTCGCGCTCTCTGCTACCATCCGTGCGCCCTGTTGACAGACTTTGGCCTTTTTTTTTGGTATGCCGATGCTATATCTCTCAGCATGCAGACATTCCAACCAAGCTCAAACGCTGGCCTTGCACACAGCTGCCTCTTCTTGGCAAAAGTTGATGATGAAGACTTGGTGAGCTTCCTTTTCATGCTGAATGGCAAACGCTTGGGCCTTGGTTGCATTGTCACAATGGATTGTTCTTCAACCTTGGTTGCAAAGTTGGTTTTGCCCAGTGTTTGGCCCATGGCAGCACACTGCTGCAAGATGCAGCAAGACATGAGGAAGAAAGGTGGCAGTAGTCACAGTTGGTGGCAGATGGGCAGGATCTTT